AAGTCGTTTAGTCGTTGAATATCACCAGCTTCACATTCTGCCCCCATCCTCTACCAAATCGTGTTTTGTGTCCTTCGGAATTCTTATTCTAACAACGTTATTCTTTCAGTCTTGTGTTGTTGTATTATTCAAATTGATAATTCAAAGGGTTTATACAACCTGAAGAACGAAACACTCTTAAATATTCTGCCTACTCGTCTGAGTTTTCATTTACGATCAACTACTCATGTCAACAAGAGTACCGAATCACACAAAGCCTAACCTGTAGACACTTGCTAAAGCGAGGAAGTCAGATAATAATGTGCGTAGTAAACGCGTGTATTAAGTAATACACAGTGAACCTGGATATAACGAATATGATAACAATAAAGCAACATTGATTTCGCTAGTTCAAACAGAAACTATATTGTATGCAGAATTATGTCAAGTAGTCCTCAAGAGTAGTTTGTCGTGCTAACTCTATACTGTTTAAACGATTGTAAATTAGAAAGAGCATTTATAGCTAACCCTCACAATTCGTTCTTCAAAAGGTTCTTCTAATGTTTCACAATGATTAATGGTATCTATTAGTGTTTAGGTATCTACAATCTCTTGGAATAGAAACGTTCTCGTCGGTAGAGGAATTTATGTCTGCATTTTGGTCGATATCTATATACTCTTATATGTCCAAGTTTCGTTATACCCAGATTCAGAATATGCGATAAACCTCTATGTGTAATACAGCAAACTAACCAATATTTAGCAGTAATTATAATTAGAGGAGAAGTTATAGAGTTGAAACTGTAACTAAGACCAATCTCATTATAGAATTGAAGCATCCAATTCTCCGGAAAGAAAGCAAAGGATGTGTGTATAAAAATATTGGGTAAGAGAAGCAATTTCTTGCGAATGTTTTTAATCAGAACCCGAACCAGTATTCGTATATTTGATAAAGACTCGTCTCTTCAGAAGTTAATTATCAGAACCTACCCTGGACAAAAGTATCGAACACCCTAACTTTATTAATTGCACATAATAACTAAAGCCAGACTTTTCATATGTCATAGTCTACCTTCTTATGAAATGCGGTTACGTGTTGTTTATATTTATTTCTCTTGCAACAATATAATAAACGGGATTGGTGTTTTTATTTTAATCTTTAACTTAAAATGTGACTTAACCGTGGCCAAATTTATAAACTCTTGGCTTCCTAGAGCAACAGTAATACGAACAATTTAAAATTTTCTCTTGAAGAAAAAGTCTTGCAACCCAAAATTTGAGCATAAACAAATATTAATACGGGTTGTTAAGCAAAAAACAAGAGATCGGCTGAACAAATCAAAATCTGCTTAATGACCTGAGGTTTCGAGGTCTCTATTTAGGCACGCTTAATGACCTGATGTTTCTACGTACGTACCAAAACTATTAGGAGAAATTTACACGAGCTTAAATTTTTTTCTCGCATTCCGACATCCAAACCTAGAAAATCGCCTAAATTGGTGTATTGAAAGAAAGAATTAAACCTATTGAACATTTATGGTCAAAACTGGAAAGGCGTATTAGAAAGCATTAATTATGGCTAAAAAATGTAAGGGAACTTGAGATGGGCATTACAGGAGGAATGGAGCCAAATTACTAACGATGCTTTGATGAATTTAATTAAAAGTAGGCCTCGAAGAGTCGAAGCATCCAACAAGGATTGGTCTTATGCATAGATTCACAAGAAGCTAGACTATAGCATATAAAAATTTTAGTCTCAATTATTATGTACACTTTTGAGCAATTAATAAAGTTAGGGTGTCCGATACTTTTGTCCAGGTAGTGTATCTGCTATAGACAAGAAAAAAGTTCGAAATAGAAGCTAACCTTCAAGTCTCGTATATAGTTGCTCTCTGGATACGATACGTATTAATATATTATGTTTAACAACATGCCTGCATTAGCTCGCTACTAATGCCAACGAACAGTTCTAATAAGCGTCTTCCTTGATTTTGTCCCCCCCCCCCCAGAGGATGAAAAAGAACGGTCAAATTGTAGCGGAGACTAAAATTTTTGCTACGTGTTGCCCAGTTTTTTGTTCAAACTATGTGAATACTCTTGAATGAGTAAATGTGCTATTATTTCGAATAATGGAGAATGTATTGTATCCGGCGTTGTCGACCTATTGTTCGTAAAAAAGAGCTTGCAAATTGTCTCTGCCGTAACCATGACAATACCCTTGAGGTCATCGTAGCTACAATCAGTTAAACCATGACAGACAAGAATTATCAAGAATGAATCCCATACAAACACATACGCTAGTTTGAATCATTGTATGTATTGTTAACACAAGTCCTGTAGCGAAAGAATTGTCTCTCTAAATTATGAAGATCATACTATATTTGTATTATTAGGAGCACAAAGTATTATATTTGGGTCTAGTAATAAAGAAATATTTGTTCTAATGCTATTTTGTTCGAAGAGTTGTCGCTTTGCAAACAAGGTGTTAAGTCCTATGAGCTTTGTTAACGCAATCTTTATTGGGAGTGTAGCTATATTAAGATTCAAGCCAGCCGTACAGACGACCCCGACTAACTGACCGCTTTGAAAATATGCAAGATACCAGGATTGCGGTTGTTACTAGTCAAATGTCATGGATATTTCATTCCATTCACTCTGAAATATTATAGTATTAGTTTCGGATCAAAGATCTTTATCGGGCATCCTAATCTCGATCTATGGATCACATATTGTATTATTGCATTGCCAAGTATTATTTGGTCCCAGCTTGTGTGTTGACATCAGTCCGAACATACATTTTAAGTAATAGTAAATAGATGTGAACTTGTGCTGGCATAAGCAGCTAGCAGAGCTTGTAAGATAGGTATCGTAGGCAATGGGAAGTCGACTCTTTCAGAGACAGTTATTACCTTAGTTTCATGACTGAATAATTCGTCACTTCCTGTAAGCATCTTTTACCAGAAATAAAGTATCGTCGTCTTAAGAGCTGATACCATTTACTTGAACACGAATTCGGCAAAGATGATATTAAGATTACACACTTTATTAATACAAAGCATAGTAAAATAGGAGAGAACTCGGTTGTCCGCTGTGTTTACGGGATTTGTGACGAGGGTCAGATTACTAGATGGGTAATGCGATGGTATATGGAGCAACTGGAATACGAGGATTATGGGAACCCTCTCTTACTTGGCAAGGTAGTGGGATGATGGACTGGGAAGAAGAGACAAAAGTTAAGATACTTTGATAGGTGGCTTAATGTTGGCGTATACTTTCTTTCCCAATGGTCCAGATAAGATTGCATTGATCGGCTAATACTTGCGTTGAGATGTACAGTATAATGGCTAATAATAGTCTTCGTAACACGATATTGGTGATACACTACCAATCAACCATCATCTCGTTAGAGACAATATTAACATTCTTTATCATATTGTTATCCTTACCCGTGGTTTGGTGATAAACAGATTGAGGGATGGGAATATTCGAAATTGGGGAGATAAAGAAACCAGCACTTATCACATGCGGAGGAAACAATATGGAAGATATCAGGTCTATGTATGAAGGCGTATACGTTTCACGGGGACAAACCATTTTGGGACCATGAGTGTTAGGAGGGGGGATGTATCAAATCAATGAAATGGCCTCCTCTTGGTTGTTGGGAGGAGAACAATAGATAATAGACACCGATCGACTACGTGACCAATAATTTCGTATTCAGTGACGTACTTGACAAAAAAGGTTTGATTTTTGTAGTACAATTCTGCAGGATCATCTTTGAATGTGAATGTCCGAGAACAATTATTATGCACTTGACCAAATGACAAGTTAATGGCAGAAGATAAGCCAATTAGCATATGATTCACTTATTACTAGTTATAAAGTTGAACAAGAATGGAATTATTCAAGCAAGTTCTTTAGTATTGTCGTTCCTCATTGTATACATAGAGCCAATAACTTGCATTAATGAAATGATGTAATGGCGAGAAATACAATGAATGCGTCAACGACTTTGCTTTTAATTTCAAATACAGGTTTTTTGGCGCTATGCCTAATGAGGATGAGAATGTAGTAATATACTACGATTTTTATTATACCCACAACTTACGAACCACAGAAAAGTATTCGATAAACATGGGATATATGTTTCGGTGCCTTAATAATAATAATAACGAGGCATCGATAAAGAAAAATACATCTTCTAAATACTCGTAGAGATTCCTTATCTTGAAGAAATTGGTGTTACATATAAGATGTTTATTTTATTACTCCGTATAAGCGAATATAACAGGGGAACATTGACATATTACTTAAACTAGTGGTCATAAGACAGACTTTCAACTTTCTACATGAGCCATCATCGCACATGCTGCATAAAATGCCCGGGTTAGATAACTTTTACCCAATTGTTCTTGTCATTGTCATTAAACTAGTTGCACCAATTACGCAGTAGGCATCCAATTACTGGGAGCAACGCGAATACCTAATTATGGGGTTAATAGGTTCATTCATGGGTAAATTTGTTTGTTCCACAAAAACCTAGAAAGTATTAAATGGTTTCCAAAATTGAAAATAAAGTTTGGTAAAAAAAGGGTCGAAATCTATGACGAATAATATCTCCCTATTGTGCACATTCTACCACTGCTATTATTATTAATACTATTGCAAATACTAATATTATAGCGAGTGCTTTGCTATTGCTACTAATCAACTATCCGCTTTCTTTCTTTTTTTTTATATGGAATTATTCGCATTAATCGCATAATACATATAATACAAATATATAATGATTGCCCAATATCATAGATTGTTCCTGTAACACAGATTTCGATCCATTATCACAAACTCCCATTCAACTCACATAACAATACGAAAAAATCGATCGACGGCAAATATTGTTTATCCAAACTATTATAAATGGAACACGAGTGTCTCCTCCTCCTTTAACTAATAATATACTAATATTTACGAAAAGTACGAAAAGTACCCCTCTCCCACTCTAATCACTCTAATAATAAAAAATGAACACACAGACGACACAAATTCCTAAAACTTCACGCATAGGGATAGTTGGGGCTGGTCCGGCGGGCGTATCGTTCGCATATTTTCTGCGCAAGCAGGGATTTAACAACATCACTCTCCTTGAGTCCGCTCCCCACATCTCTGGCAAAAGTTCTTCATTTGAAGTGGGAGGGCGTGGGTATGACGTTGGGGCCTTGATGGTTGGGACGAATTACCATCATATTCATTCGCTCGCTTCGGCGTTATCTTGCCCCCTCGAGCCGTTTAAAGGGCGGGCACTAGACATCGATAATGGACGCCTCATACATGAGGACACGTCTATGATTTGTATATACCAGCAGTTGCTCCCTCATATCAATCATTATTTGGGAGAACGTTCCCACACCCAAGAAATCTCAAATCCTGGACACGGGACCCTGAGTGAAGAACAACTCTTTCCGCCGATCGGGCAGTACCTTAAAGGGAAACAAATGGAGTATATGCGAGACGCATGGGCTCTTGCATTCACCTCAGCAGGCTACGGATATATTGACAGCGACATTCCGGCGGCATACTTTCTCAAGTTTGTCGAGCGCTCGGAAAATAAAATAAGCTATTTTCCTAACGGCTTTTGTAAGCTGTGGGAGAAGATGGTGGAAGTAAGTAGTTACCTGATAATCGATACAGAAAATAATACTCTCCGCATACTAACCAACCTAACCACCCATAACTTTGTATTAGGGGATCAACGTGATAACACGGGCGCACGTGACTAAGGTTGATCGCTCACTGGCGAGAGCTGGTGTGGGTCCAATCTTGGTTACTTATGAATCTAAACATCAACAAACCCTTGCCTTTGACTACATTGTGGTCGCTACTAATCCACGGCAAGCGGAACCGTTCCTGGATACTACGGCTGAGGAGGCAACACTATTCAAACAAGTAATCTATTTCGATTACTATACAATCATTGCAACCGTCGAGGGTTTATCCACAAAGCAAGGCCTTACGACTATACCAAAATACTGTCAAGACAAGAGTTATGTCGGACATATTACCGCATTTTACTGTGCCTACGAGGGCGTTCCGACATATAGCTTTTATGCTTATGGTAACACCGAAATCACCCAGGAGAAGGTGATCGAATACTTCCGCGAGGATATCGAGAAGATGGGTGGATCTATTAAAGAAATCCATTACAGCAAGCACTGGGACTTCTTCCCACACGGTAAGCTGGTTGCGCTATCTCCGTTAACAGAATATGTGACATTGAAAATCTCATTCGTCTTATCCCTAATAGTTAATTCGTTAAGTATGGCGCGGGGCTTTTACAGCAAGGCAGAGGACCTCCAAGGCCAGCATAATACCTTTTATACCAGTGGTTGGCTCGATCTCGAGCTGACCGAGAGCTGTGTCTCTTACAGCAAAGACTTGGTTACTCGATTTTTCTCCGATACTCCTAATGAATCCCAACATCTGCCGGTCTCCCCCCCGGTTGAAGTCAAACCACCGTCGCTAATGAACTTGGGACTTGCACTCAAGTTGGCTGCTGAGAAATATCCTGACAAGGTGGCCTTCACTTGGGTCGATGCGAATTTAAAAGAAGAAATGCAGTTTACGTTTGCTCGGCTTTACCGTCAGGCAAGATCGGTAGCCCAGTTTCTTGTCACAAAAGGACACAAGAAGGGTGACCGAGTACTGTTATGTTATGCCCCGGGCCTTAAATTCCTCCCCATTCTCTTCGGCTGCTTCATGTGTGGTGTAATCGCCGTCCCCGTTGCTCCTCCAAACCTTTCGACCGCACAGAAAGACATTGCCCGGTTCACCTATTTGACAAATACAACAGGTGCCAGGATCTGCTTCAGCGACAAAGACTACTTACAGTATACGAGGTTTTACGCCTCGAAGGCCCTGGTAGGGTTTGTCGATAAGATTAAGTGGCCAGAAGGTCTCACGTGGATCGAAGGGGAAACGATATCTCCGAAAGCTCTCTATGAAGAGCGATTAATAGCCGAAATTGATCCTAATGATGTCGCTGTATTGCAATTCTCCTCTGGAAGCACCGGCGATCCGAAGGGTGTTATGCTCACACATAAAAATCTTCTGCACAATGTCGATCTCATGCAAGCAGAAACGGGAATAAATGCAGATTCCATTTTTGCGTTCTGGGTCCCGCAGTTCCACGATCTTGGCCTCATTGGAGGATTCCTCAATACGGTGAGAGCTGCCTCTCGCTCAATTGTCATGTCGCCGCTCACATTCTTACAGCGGCCCGAAGTGTGGCTACAAATGATCTCGAAGTACCAAGCAAACTTTACGGCAGCGCCAAATTTCGCCTATGAACTCGCAGCAAGGAAGTGTTCGGACAAGACGCTAGCATCGCTGGACTTGAGTTGTCTTATTGGTGCTTTTAATGGGGCGGAACCAGTACGCTGGTCAACTCTGCACACCTTCTCGAAAAAATTCGAAGGTGTCGGCTTTAATCTTGCTGCATTCAAATGTCTATATGGATTAGCTGAGCACTGTGCTTATACAGTAGGATTTCGGAATACCCACAGCGTACCAACCGTTATCGACGTTGATCCTCATGATCTTCTCGCAGGGCGTGTGACAATTCGGTCGAACCCTTCAATGCCGAATAGAATAGTCGCCACGGGCGTCCCCAATACGGCGATGCAGGTCGAAGTGAGGATAGTAGACCCAAATACTAGGCTATTGTGTCCGCCGAACGTAGTAGGCGAAGTTTGGCTATCGAGTCCAAGTGTAGGCGAGGGATATTATGGGAGGGAGGAGTTGTCCGAGGAAGTTTTTCGGGCTAAACTGGATCATGATGATGACCAGGATCGGGGTTGTTTTCTTCGAACGGGGGATCTTGGCTTTATGTACAAAGGTCAATTGTACATAACGGGGAGGGTAAGTAAATTGTTAATGTTTATCCTTATGCACGCAATAATATATAGTCGTTTAATTGGCGCTAAATAATCTTTGATATCTCCATAGCTCAAAGATGTGATCATAATAAATGGGAAAAACCATTATCCCCAGGATATCGAGCTCACTGTGCAGCAGTGTCACTCTCTGATAAAACCGGGTTGTGTGGCCGCTCTTCACCATCATGATCCATCTCGGGGAACCGATGCGCTAATCATCCTTGCGGAAATAAGGGATGACAAAGTTGAACTCGGGGCAATAGTTAATGAAATCAGTCGCATGGTTCCCGCGAACCACGGGTTACCAGCCGAAAGGGTTGCCTTGTTAAGGCCCCATAGTATCCCTAAAACGACGAGCGGCAAATTGCAAAGAGGGCGAGCGAAAGCCATGTTAATGGCCGGCGAGCTCGATAAAAAAATACTTCTTAGTGATGGGGACTTGAAGGAGAAGACCAAACCCGACGCATTAGTAACCGTTGCAGTTACGTTAACGCTTGAAGAGATTACACGTACCATAACGCAGAGAGTGCAAAAGCTCTCTAAGCTCGTTCCGCAAACCTCTGACATCGATGAAAACGCTAATCTGATTACGAAGTACGGCTTTGATTCGCTCGCAGCGGTTCAATTGACTTCATCTTTGAAGAATGATTTCAAAGTTGAAATACCTCCATCGCTGCTCTACGATGTCCCGTCAATCTCGGGTCTCGCCAAGCACGTTGCTACACTACTCCCGTCCCCGTCTGCTGTCCAGAAATCAGAGTCTATCGATAGGGTGATTGCAACTTCGCCTTCTTCACCAACATTTGCTCCTCAACCATCAGTTTCACTCCCCGAAATCGAAACCACGATAATTGGCCATGTTCACAAAATTTCCCGTGTGGCCTCAAAAATTCCCGTTGACGAAATCGATCCGAAGGCAAACATTATTACTGATTATGGATTTGATTCCTTGTCAGCGGTTCAGTTGACTGCATTGATAAGGGAAAGCTTTCAGGTGGAGGTAGCTCCTGCCGTTCTCTATGATATATACACAGTTGGGGGTCTTGCCGAGCATGTATACAAGCTGATAGCGAGTCAGTCGCCTACTCTTGGTCGAGGAAGGAGAAAAGAAATAATACAAGACCATGAAGTGTTGACACCGGAAACTACTCCTCTGCTTGTTCCACTTGCACCGAGGAACGTTTCGAACAAAAACAATCCCGCCTTATTCTGCATTCACCCGCTTTTGGGAAATGTAGCAGCGTATGTCCACATATCTCGCCTTCTAGGTATTAATCGGCCGGTTTATGGCATCCAATCACCGGCCCAATTTCCCCCCTCTGTAACAACTCTCGCAAAACGATATGCCGATTTAATCCAGCGGGAACAACCTTCTGGGCCATACTATCTATGCGGCTACAGCTATGGCGGTCTAATTGCATGGGAAATAGCCAAGCAATTGGCTTCTTTCGGTGAGAAAGTAGGAGGATTATTCTTAGTCGATGCCCCCAGCCCCCTTGCTCAAACTGTCAAGGAACCCATCGGTGAGGATAAGGAGGCCCACCTAGTGTGGGAGGAGGAGATTGAACAATTACTTTCTGATGCGGACAGTCAATGGATGATGCGCAAACGAGCAAGCGATCCCTCACAGATCAACGACCTGAAGCGGTTGGTCGGAAAGCACATCCAAGCGATGTACGCCCATAAGGAGGATATTACGACACTATCTGCGGTGCAACCATTCCCCGTGCACTATTGGAGGTGCAAGGATCTTTCCAAAACCTCAACGCTTCTTCTTGATCATCCATTCTTCCATGACCCCCATTGGGGTTGGCGACGATACAAAGGAAGCATCACTTTTTATAATACCATCCCTGGTGACCACTACACGGTCCTAACAGAAAACAATTGCGGTCGACTAGGCCGTGAACTTGACAGAGCTCTGCCAAAGTATAATAGACGAACCAGTGCAGAATTGCGTCCTTTGATGCTCGAGAAGATTGCGGGCAAGGATCGACCACTATCTTCATACAGCCCTCGGTTCAAGAGCAAAAATTCAAATAAGATTAACCAATTTATTGGCGTTTTTAACGCACAAATACCCTTATACTATGTTATCGCGATCACTATTGCGATTTCGTATACTATGCAGAGAATTACCACGATAGTAATATGAGGGTTTATATGCTTATATCTTTTGTTGCTTCATAGATGCTCTCGAGCCTACATCATATTTTTTTTTGTATATAGTATTGGTGGTAAAATTTGCGGTGGGTGTGGATCTTTAATGCAATCTGTATTTACTGTCGATATTCTTATTAGTAAAATATTAGTTCTTTTTCTCATGATATGTAATTATTAATAAAGTGTGTTCAGTAATCAAAATAATTGAATGACAATCAGTAGCAAGACGCTAATTTGACATTCGCTTCTTGATGTAAGTAGACTAAAGGACGTTCACAAGATTCACAACCTTTATTACAAGATACAACTAGTTTAAGACTATTGCAAGCCTCTTACTACGATCAACAGTTTGTTATTTTGCTCGTGGCTTGTTTTGAGTCCACTGTTATTAATAGAGAAACTCCTAATGTCAAACGCATCATTATTATGGCTCGCGCATCTTATGGTCCACATAATAATCAATAATATTGTAACCCGATTTCTTCGATAAATGTGTTAAGTTATTAGAAGCGCTATAACCATATTAATATGATCTAAACAGCGATATGATGGATTTGGCGGCGATAGATTATTATTATATTGGATTAATCAGTTATTTCAGGAGCCATAAATTATATTTAATCACGTGATTATCGATAAGTCGGCCAAATGATGCGAACTCATAATGTGCGATAGGAGCTTTTAGATATTAATTCGATGTTATGACTGCTTTTATTGTTATAACTAATTTTTTACTGTATTATTGCATGCAGACAAGGAAAGCAAGCACATAAGATTAGGCATAATAGCGCTTACAGAATCGAAAGAATCCCTTCCTGTAGGCAATTGGGAATTAGCGTGCAGTCAGCGAAGTGCAAATACACGTGAGCTGGTAGAGACACTAGCTGCGAACATCAGTAAGGAAGGAAGGGTAGTTTTCTGGGCGCATAGTTATTAACCCCTGCAAATTGGTTTGCATAGTCGTTAACCCCTGCAAATTGGTTCTATTTGTATCGAGTTGGAAGTATGTCTTAAACACGTAAGGTAATTCACTTACACCGAACAAACCAATGTGTCCTTCCGCCCAACTATTTGCGTACTTTTCCGACGTCGTTCCTTCCTTGCCTATAACAGCTTCCTCAGCCAACATACCTACAAGCGAAGCTTCCGTGATAGACGCGTCTACTGTTCACATGCCAACTCAAGCAGTCGAAAACATAACAACCAGCAAAATGCCCGTTTCTCCTCACAAAACACACGCTCGATTACGACCACAATGTATACATAATGATTTGGTTAACCAAATTACTACCCTAGTGTCGCTTCCAAACACAGATGTGAAACTTCCCGAAGACATCCTTCACTGTGTTACAAACTTTGCAACACCACCAGCATTCATTCACCCTTGTCAACAATATGTATACTTCAATGGCGAAAACATAGATAGATTTTCCTATCGCTATGGTTTCGTGCGCGGTCTATTTGCGGATACATACTTTACAGTGGCCAACTACAACATTCGCTTTTGCTGCCACGCGTATGTCCTCGCACGAACGCCATTTCTCCTCGATCATATGCTCAACTCATCAACTAGAGGCGAAATATCATTGGACATAACGGACAGTAACATAACATACGAATCCATCTGCTTTGTAATTGGACATTTATACGGTACCGAAGGGGATGTATTACTGACCTTGCATCATGCACCGGGAGTATTAGCATTTGCATACATGATGGATGTGAAAGACGTATGTGGGAAATCGTGCGAAATAATCAAACGAAAAATAAATGAAGAGAATGTCGAAAGGTTTGTGAAGTTTGTGGAGGGAACGAGATATGGGAAGTATACAGAGGAAATTGAAAGTGCAGTGGAGGCGTATTTGACAGTGGAGTTGGGTGGCGTAGCATTTCATCAACCTTTTGAAATAGACTATACGGAGAAAGGAAGATCGGTAGATGGTGAATGCGAAGTGTGGACGAATGGTCACATGAGTTGTTGGGAGAAGAGCTGTTGTGTCAGCAAGACAGGTTTCAAGGGGGCTTGTAGTAACATTTCATCAACATTTGCAACATCAGGTTCATCCATTACATTGTTAGGGACGTATACCAATCCAAGGAATTACATACGCAAGATCCGCTACATTCCAAAACCACTACTTTCAAGTCACCCTTCTCCCTCACAGATATTTTATGATGGTCGATATCAGCCTATTCGCAATCCTCTCTTATCTCCAAAACCTTCTCTTAAGCAGACATATTCAGCTCATAAAAAGTCCGTACAATGGTGTTCTAATCTACATGACTCGATACTCAATAATCATCCTCCATACATTGATGTCCGTTATCTGCGTACTGCCAATCGTGTAATTAAACCTGGATACGAAAAACTACTTGATATCTATTCCAAACTTCCCTTCAATTGGATGAAACGATGCGTGGAATCAAAAAACTTGGGAATTGATTTTCCAGTGAGAGACAAATTAGCTCAGGATGTTGTAAATAAAAGGAGGATCTGTGAGAAGGGGGAAAAAAGAGAGCGAGTAGAGTATAAGTTTGGAGTTGGCTGTGGGTCACACGTTGAAATCGTACAGACTAAGAGCCAAGGGAGGAGTGCATAAGAATTTATTGAACCCAATAATAGATGAGACTAGCTGTATTGTATGTGATCTCGTGTAAGAAGAACCTGCTTATTGACAAGCAGAAATCATATGTTCATTCGGTTAATAATGTTAAGCTGGAAATTGGACATTATGTGAAATGGTTTCTGCCTGAACTGTCTTAGCAGGGATTGTACCTTTAGATACGATAGATTCTTTTTTTCGGAACCTTTGTTGTTCCGTCCGTATTTCCGAGTTAGTTATTGTATTTTCAAGTGTAATAGGATTCTTTATTGAATAAAATTTAATGTTAGTGCATCAGCAATCACCTATTTACTGCCATTCGAAGTACGATTCTTATATTCGATGACCCTTATGAGTGTAGAGTATTATTAAGTCACGTTTGTCAATCCGCGTCAGTATAGATGATTAATCGAGCTTTATAATATATTCTCTAGACGAAGTTAGTAGGCCAAGGGATGAGTTAATTAAAGGAGATTAAAATTTGGAATGAAATGGCTGTTTATTGGTTATAGGCGGTGAGATGAATATAATATTCCACCAGAGACAAATCCATCATACGTAATGTAACGAAATGCTTTCGCTGCCAAAAAGTTTATTTGTAGCAATGAGCAGATTACGCCTAATGTAAGAATACCTTCGTCTATTTTATAAGGAGATACTTCCATTAGTTGATCTTTTTTCCCTTGCTGACCATTTTCTGCGAACTTGTTTAGTGATACGAAAACGTCTTGCAGGATTGTTAGCGCGAACCGTGGTACTATAGCGAGGAAGGGCACGAACAGTCATTATTTACGTATATAGAATGTTACAACACTATGGGGGAGTAAAATACCCCTTTAAAAAAATGAAATGTAAAATACTCGGTACTTTAGTCAGGGTCTACAGTAACTTTTGCATTCCTTCTCTCTCTCGTTTTTTATTTAAAATCTAACTATAAATGCCTCGCATAGTTTTTATTGTTGCAACTTTCATATTATTAACCGCGATTTTAACAACAACAATAATATTCTCTGCAGAGTTGTGATTCCTCTTCCGCCTTCTACTGCCGAAAGCCTGAAGCGGAAAGATAATCCTGCAAAGAACTTTTTTAAGACGCTTTAATTATAGTATTTCTTTTCCACGTCTTTTTCTCGACCGAAAGAGTACTCTTGTCCGTAAAACTTATTTGACTGTACTGTTTTCAGTGAATTAAGATCTGCACCTTTTCGATTGTTATTAATTCATCTAAAATAATTTGTATTTATATTGTTGGTTCACTGATTGAAACATACCATTCAGAACAATTACAAGCGATGTTTACATATCTTCGTTTGTTTGAGACTTTAACGAACAACAGGAATGCTTTATGATATAACAATATCTAATAAAAACGATGGAAAGCAGCTAACAGTTACTATTGGAAGAAATACCTTAACTCTATGGGTCTTTAATATTAATACTTCTCGGCTTATCTTGTTATTGTCTTTTCCCGACTCCCCTTCTTATTCCGTCTTGATGAAGACGAAATATGCATACGTTTGAAAGATAAAAAATTTTCCTTAATAAGATTTACATGTATATGTTTCTTAACATTAAGTATAAGTTGTATGAATGCGTGCTCACTAGCATGAGTGGTTGTAATTACGTTAAGCTTTTCATATGATAAATTTGAGAGAAAACAACAGCTAGAAAGCAAATTGTCATGTACGGATAACTCGAGAGAGATAATTAAAGAACTATATTTTTTTTTGCAAAGGATTAAGATGTTAAGTGGTGGTTTCCGGTTTTCGGTTTTGTGTTGAGGTTCAACAATCCCATTGCAACTGGAAGAAAGTATATATTACAGTATATTAGTGCATTTCTAGCAATCTGTTAAGCATTCAACTTATTGAAGAATATGTGGTGATAGCATACGTTTTCCTTTATAAAGATTACCTTATAATATGTGATATAACCTCAATTTTGACTTGACACTTTCCCCACATCGTTCGGGTCTCTTCTCAAGGTGCTTTTATAATATTGATGCTAATAGGGCCAGATTACGAACTTGCATACGCTGCACAATAGGTACATTGTTGCATTTAGTTCTTCAAGCTTTGCCGAACACCGAAACAGTAGTCTTCGAGGAAAGAAAAAAAGCTTACATGACAAAGAAGCATATAAGAGCTCAATAGCAAATTAGTCTTGAATGTATATCTATCAACTATGAATATGATAATCAAGAAATAACCTGTGGTGTATGATTGTCGGCCGTTCTGGTATCAACGTGCGCCACAATCAAAACTCGGGTAACCTAAACAAGCTGTAAACAAACCAGCGGACTGGCAACTCCGCGTAGTTCGTACTACAGTCCGTAAATATCGATATTAATATGGAGATGGGTTATAACTATCCTCGTTTGGCTTATACAGAAAGTATTGCTTGTTTATTTGCCAGTCAATTACATTGGACATCACACCATTTCATTTTTAGGGATGAACACTGTCACAATAATGTTTAGGAACAAAACTACTCTCTTTAGAAAGGCTAAAAAGAGTAAGTTATGTCTATTAATTTTATCTATCAATCAACAAATTATTGACTAACTTGTTAATAGCTGATGTGCAATCAATCGTAAAAACACAGTATTTATCTACCACTACAGTATATTTCTCGTTTATAGAGTCTTAATAAGATGAGCAAAGTTAATAAGAGTAGCGAGTGCAGTCATGGCAATAACAATATATTTTATTCTTATTGTGTCTATCCGTAAACATTGGTTTATTACAAGCATCAAAAAGTCTACTCTAGGAAAGTTGTTTATGTGACAGCCAATAATCATCATCTTTAAATCCTAACGCTACGTTGGTTATCTGAATAGAGAAACTTTCTTTCCATCAGTACGAATATGGAAGACAAATAAAAGCTAGGACTTATTCAGGAATATGCTGTTGATACCTCGTTTTGGCTAATGTTGATCTGCAAGTAATAGTAGGCATTACCTGTTATTCGTTCAAAAGCAACGCAGCCGTCGTTATTATTATATAACCGAAATAGACTCGTTAGTATTAGACATTTTAATTTCCAATCTAAGCCGGTTCGTTATTTCTTACTCTGACCTTTTCACCAAACAACTGTTTCGACTACACCATCACAATAAATATGTGGATTGCTGCGTGATAAGGCGTGTAACGTCCTATGCAGCTTATTAGCATTTGAGTGTTCAAAGAAAGTGTGGTTACGTGGGTGGTTCAAAAAGTTTTGACACAAGACATATAAAATTTTTATTTACATAATAAATATCAATCTAACTGTTTCATTCCTTCGAAATACTCTCCTTTAACCTCTATACAACGTCTCAGCCGTCTACGCCAACTCTGAAAGCACT